GTAAAGGCAGGAAGAGTGAGAGATCAAGGTCATGGCTGCCCACATAGTCAGTTTGAGGACAGCTCGGTCCACATGAGTCCCTGTCTCAACAAATGTGTGTGCCGACACACGTGGGGGCCAGAACATGACATCGGGGGTCTTTCCTCTCTCTCTCTCTCTCTCTCGTGAAACAAGGTCTCTCAGTGAGCCTAGAGCTTATCAGTTTGGATACACTGGCTGGCTGGCGAGACCAGGGTCTGCCCAACTCTACATCCACAGTGCTGGGGTATGCACGCTGAAAGACCTAGCTTTTTTCTTCTTCCCCGAGACAAGGTTTCTCTGTGTAGCCCTGAGTCTCCTGGAACTTGCTCTGTAGACCAGGCTGGCCTTGAACTCAGAATTCCCCTTGCCTATGGCTCCCGAGTGAGGGCCTAACTTTTTAACATAGGTTCTGACACATCAAATTCAGGTCCCTGTGCACAGGTGTGTGTGTGGTATGTAGCGGAGGGCAAACACTTTCTGACTGAACTCCATAGATTTCAAGCATGGAGGTGAAGGGCCAAAGAGATGCTAGAGAAAGGACAAGAAATGCCCAGGTGTGGGTATGGGCCCTCAGAGAGGTGTCCAACTGAGAATGTCTTATTCAGGAAATCTTTGAATGGGGTCTGGTTGAATCCCAGCTACTGGGAGGATCAGGAATTCAAGGTCATCCTTGTCTCCACAGGAAGCTCAGGGCTGTGTTGGGCTACAGGAGACCCTGTGTTACAAAGCGGGCCAGAGAGGTGGCTCAACGGTTAAGAGCACTTTATGCTTTGTAGAGGACCCATGTTCAAGTCCCCTCACCCATTCAATAGCTCACAAGCTTCTGTACTCCAGGTCCAGGGCTCTGGTGCCCCCTTCTGGCCCCTTCAGGCATCAGGCATGCCTGCAGTTCGGGTACACTCATGCAGGCAGAACATTCACACACATAAAAAGGAAACAAGTACAAAAAAGAAAAGGAAAGCCAGTGTGGGCCCACACCGTTAATCCCAGCGCTCAGCACTCAGCGGATCTCTGTGAGTTTGAAGCCAGCCTGACCTACCGAGAGTTGCAGGACATAGAGAAACCCTATCTTGAGAAGAAGAAGAGGAGGAGGAGGAGGCAGAGAAAGAGGAGAAGGAGGGAAAAGAAGAAGGAAAAAACAAAACAAAACAGGTTGGGTGTGGTGATGCATGCCTCTCATCACAGTAACAGGGAGGCAGAGGCAGGTCGATCTCTGTGAGTTCAGGACCAACCAGGGCTACATAGTAAGCAAGCAAGCAAACAAACAAATAAACATAAAACCAAACAACAAAGACCAGAACAAAACTAAATCTTTGATCAGGCCATGGTACTACAGGCTGCATACTCAGCAGTCAGGAACTTAAGGTGTGGGGGGGATTGAAAGTTCAAAGCCTGGGTATCAAAAGTAGTTCAAAGTCGACCTGCAGAAATACTGTGACTGTTTAAAAAAAAAAAAAAGGTAAAAAAGAACTCTGGTAGTATCTCTCAGGGGTGGAGCCCCTGCCTAGAGTCCCCCAGTGAGGGGCTGGGATGTGCTCAGCGGTAGAGCCCCTGCCTAGAATCCCCCAGTGAGGGGCTGGGGTGTGGCTCAGTGGTAGAGCCCCTGCCTAGAATCCCCCAGTGAGGGGCTGGGGTGTGGCTCAGTGGTAGAGCCCTGCCTAGAATCCCCCAGTGAGGGGCTGGGGTTGGCTCAGTGGTAGAGCCCCTGCCTGGAATTCCCCAGTGAGGGGCTGGGGTTGGCTCAGTGGTAGAGCCCCTGCCTAGAATCCCCCAGTGAGAGGCTGGGGTGTAGCTCAGTGGTAGGGTGCCTGCTTAGAACAGGCAAGATCCTGGGTTCAATACCTAGAATTGTCAACTCAAAAATCCTTTTCTACTCCAAAGTCAAGGAGACATTTTTTCACATTTAGATTGTAAATCAAAAGATGCTAATTGTTTACTATTGTGTGGTATTTGGGTCAAAGTCATTGTTTTACCATATGGATATCCTGTTGTTTCAGCTCCATTTATTGAAATGATTCTACTTTCTCTGCTTAACCTCAGTGTGCTTTAAACCTGACAACCATATGCCCATGGATTCATGAATGGGCTCAGTGGGACTACCACTGAGCCATACCCCAGCCCCTCACTGGGAAATTCTAGGCAGGGGCTCCACCACAGAGCCACACCCCAGCCCCTCACTGGAGGATTCTAGGCAGGAGCTCTAGGAGGGCATCTCTGATTTTGATCCCAGCTCTATACTAACGGATTGTGATCAGAAGATCCCAAATCTCACAACATTGTCCCTTATGAAGTCACCATTCATGTGACCCAGGATAGGTTTCAATGAATATTTTTGAGTATTATCCAAATAAGATTACAAACAAATAAAACTAACCAACCAACCAAACACAAAACAACAAAAACAAAAGCCAACAACAACAACAGCAAAATCATTATGGATCTTGTTACTTCAACCTTGAGTTCCTAGGAACCTGGAATTCTCCAGTGTCTATTAATAAAAAACCCTCAAGTCTCCTTTACAAATGGGAGGCACATACTTATTATAATCCCCAAACTTGAAGAATAGAGGTAGGAAGATCGTCACAAACTCCAGGCCAACCTCGTCTACAAATTTCAGGCCGGCTAGAGCCACAGATTGAGACCCCCTCCCAGAGGAAGGCAGGCCCAGAGAGGGGAGACAACCTTGAGAGGCCGCACAGCCTCCTGTTAGTTTCTGGCCTGAATCTACTTGTCTGTGCTGGGCCCCACTCTGGGGTGAACTGCATCTCCCTGGGCTTCACTCTCATCCCAAACCCACTATGGAGCATGCGTATCAACCGCTGGAAGCTGAGCAGCAAACACGGAATTATTTTTGTCATCACATCTGAGTGTGGGATGAGGATCATGTGTTCACACAGGCTGCTCCCATGCAGTCCCCAAACAAAATCCACATTTAAACAAAAATGGTGTTGCATTTGGGATTGCTGTTAACATATGTGCATTTGATTTCAAATGAGAGGTCAGGATACAGGATGCAGGTTGAAATAACAAGAAAAAGTGTGTATTACCAGGAGTGTAAAGTGCTCACTTTAATAGAGGGATAGAAGATGTGTTATTGGCTGTAGATATAGCTCAGGGGTAGAGGCCCTGCCTGGAATCCCCCAGTGAGGGGCTGGGGTGAGGCTCAGTGGTAGAGCCCCTGCCTAGATACCCCAGTGAGGGGCTGGGGTGTGGCTCAGTGATAGAGCCCCTGCCTAGAATCCCCCAGTGAGGGGCTGGGGTGAGGCTCAGTGGTAGAGCCCCTGCCTAGAATTCTCCAGTGAGGGGCTGGGTGTGGCTCAGTGGCGGAGCCCCTGCCTAGAATCCCCCAGTGAGGGGCTGGGGTGTGGCTCAGTGGTGGAGCCCCTGCCTAGACTCCCCCAGTGAGGGGCTGGGGTGTGGCTCAGTGGTAGAGCCCCTGCCTAGAATCCCCCAGTGAGGGGCTGGGGTGTGGCTCAGGGGTAGAGCCCCTGCCTAGATACCCCAGTGAGGGGCTGGGGTATGGCTCAGTGGTAGAGCCCCTGCCTAGAATCCCCCAGTGAGGGGCTGGGATG